GGGGAGGGGGGAGACAGGTTCAGAGCTGGAACGTAAATTAAGTGGGGTCAGAGTTGGCTTCACTTGGAACGTGCCAACGTGAAGCTACTAATAAATAACTGGATTTCTTTTGAAGCTTGGCTCAACTCTCTCAAAACTAATCAAAATCACCAGGACTCCTGAGCCCCAGACTCTCCAGATGCTCCCCGACCCCTGGGGTGCATGGAGAGAAACTCAGGCTACCATGGCAGAGGGTGGACTATCCAAAGAGAGCCTGCTCCAGGCAACCCAGAAAGAGGCAGAACTTGCCTCCACGTGAGATCAGCTAGCTCTATTCCTAGACTCAGCTGAGGTCCACCTAGAGCGCTACGGACACCTCTACCCATCTCACGGAGCCATGGTGAATGCCATTGCTGAGGGGCTAGAGGGAGAAGCAAGGGAATGGCTAGCAGCCCTCCACAAGAGGAGAGCCCCCAAACTGCAAGACGTAGACGACTTCCTACGACAGCTAGAAGCCAGATTTGAGGAAGACCCGTACGAGGAAGATGAGCTCCGAAAACTAAAGCAGAGAGGGCAACCCATTAAGGAACACATCTGTGAGTTCAGGAGAGTCATGAGGAAGCTACCACCTTTGCCGGAGTGGCTGTTTGTTCATTTGTTTCAGAACAAGCCTGGATAAGCAAATTGCCCAAGTAACCGCCTATCAGGAGATCCCAAACCGACTGTCTGAGTGGTTCTGAGTAGCCATAAAAGTTGATGGTGGATTGCGCGCCAACAATATGAGAAAGTAACCGGACACCAAGGAGAGAGGACAACCAGACCGGAGACCATCTGGCCGACAGGAGGAAACAGTACCACAGCCGCCCCCCAAACCAATTCTCCCATGAAGCCAGCTGAAATGCTACAGATGCGGAAGGATAGGCCACATGGCATCAGCATGCGTGACCCCAGCCCCAAAACCAAAGCCAGAGCAACTACCCAGGGCATGGCCAGAATATGGCCCCATGTGTGTCACCGACACATCCTGAAAAGCCCTCCAGGCCATAGAGGTCCCTCCCCACCCAGCTGAAGCAAGGGAAACTCCCGCCAATGATGACCAGTGACCGGATTCCTATGACAGCGAGGACAAAGGCGAAAACAACCCAATGGTGAGTGAACCAATCCACCCTTTCATCTTCCCAATATGCCACACAGCCCCAAAAATAGGAACCCAGGGGACTTTTCAAGCCCTAATAGACTCAGGCTGCACTAGATACTTGATCAACCTAACCACAGTCCTGAAACTGGGGATTAGAGCAAAGAGACTGGCCCACCCAATCAGGTTCAAACAGGTCGATGGGTCCCTACTGGGGGGATCCTACACCACCCACCTGACAAAACCAGTGAAGCTAAAGCTAGCAAGTCACTGGGAACAATTTGATTCATAATAGCCCCCAAAATGACATATGCAGTCATACTGGGGCTCTCCTGGCTAGATAAGTGGAGCCTGACCATTTGGTGGCAAGGGGGAAACCAAAGGCTGCGGATAGCAAAGGAGCCCCAAACCCCTCCACACCAGCTAATAGAAACATCGCCGCCGCAGGAAACCAGAACAACTGGCAGCCACCTCCAACAAAACCCGAGGATGAACAGATCCCCAGAGACTATGATGTCCTCACGGAACTGTTCAGTAAAGCTGAGTGCAATGTCCTACTCCCCCCCCCCTCCCATGAGATGGACTGTGCCATCAAAATCATCCTCGGGGCAAAACTACCCAAACCCAAACTGTACGCCATGACTCCCCAGGAAATGCAAGAAATGTGCAAATACATAGACAAGAGGGTCTAAACCTAGCAAGAGGGTTCATCAAGCCAGCCAAGGCACAGGTCGCAGCCCCAGTCCTGTTTCCTAGCATTCACAAGCTTTTACAGACAATTCATTCTTTTTTTTTTTGCGAAGATTCCCAAACCCATGACAGACCTCCTAAAGACCCAGGGATGAAGCCACAGCCAGGACAACCTTTACAGTGGGACCTAACCTGCCAAAAGGCATTTGAACCACTAAAAGAACTTTTTGGAAAGGAACTGGTGCAGAAGCATCCTGACCCCAAACAACCCTTCGTTATCCAAGCAGACACCAGCGATGTGGCAGTGGGAGCAGTGCTACTCCAAGGAAATAGCCAAGGAAAAGTACAGCCCTGTGTCTACGTCTCCAGCAAACTCACAGACACAGAGAGGCAATGGGCCGCATGGGAAAAAGAGACTTTTGCGGTAAGATGGGCACTGCTAACCTGGCACCACCTGCTGGAAGGGGGGAAGAGACTGTTTGAAGTCTGAAATGACCACTGGAGGCCCTTAGGACCCTGTAAAAACTATCGTCCAAACAAGTCCTCTGGGCTCAATACTTCAACAGGTTCGACTTCATGCTAAAGCACATCCCAGGGGGAGGAACTTTTTAGCTGACACCCTCTACTGCATGCCCCAGTACAAATGCAAATGGGAGGAGGTAGTAGATGCCATCATCCCCCCTACCCAAACAGCCACCCAAGTGACCACAGGATGACAATGCCATGACCGGCAAGATCGACCCACAAGCAATCTAGCCATAAAACTCAAAACCGAACTGCTAGCACGACCCCTGGTTCCATGACAAACAATACATCTTGACAAAAAGGGATGTCCTAGTGTGGAAGGGGACCAAACTCTATGTCCCAGAATCCCTATGCACCCTAATCCTCCAGAGGAGCCATGAAGTCAAATCGGCAGGCCACTTTGAGATTCTAAAGACTTTACATTTATCACAGAGGCAATTTTGGTAGCCTGGCATAAAGAAAGACGTAAACAGTTATGTGAAAAGTTGCACCATCTGCACCACAATGAAATAAAAATGACCAGGAGAGAACCCAGAGGCATCGTGGTGAGAATGTCTGGGGAAATAGCGAGCTCTGTGGAGCTATGTGAAAACCAAGCTGTCAAACCGCCGCCAAGAGGTCCTTTGTGGATTGGAAACAAGGAGAGGCATTTCGGGTGACTGTGGGGAGTGAGGCAAGCTCCCCAGCAGGTCAGAAACTACGCTCTCCAAAGATCGACGGCGGAGGTGGCAGCCATCTTCGAATGACCACTCTGGAGCCAGGGCAACTGGAATAAGACTGGTGCAGGAGCGGAGTAGCAAACAGAGTGTAGGGACCGGAGGAAGACTGGCTGATGTAAGAACAAAAGAACTTAATTTTGGTGCTTAAAAATCTTTCCGGAGCTAAACTAGTGGCTAAACGTCACTTGGAACACGGATGGGGGAAAGAAAGGGGGGGTGGGGGAAACTATCGGTAATTAAATACCAAGCCCAATAAGAGTTTGATTAATAGGGTGTGTGTGTGTGTGTGTTGCCTGAATCTCAACAACAGGACGTGTTCTCCAGGGGGGCTCTCTGAAGAAGCGTCAGATTTCCTGTTATGTTGAGGGATGTTTAATCATAGTTGCCTTGGGGGGGCAGTAAAGGGGGGGGGCACAGGTAGGTGTGGTTGGGGAATGTGCAACTCCCCTAAAACACCTGCAAATTGCTAAGCAATTGCTCCTGGACCTAAAGCAGGAAAGGCAGCCATTGTGAGCTTCCACGCTGAGCAGCTTGGAAAATCAGCGAAGTACTTTGTCTGGGTGAGATAACAAGATTGCTTGAAAGTACAACATTCCTGTAATTAACCTTAACCTCCAGTTGAAAAAACTTGTTTAAAGAAAGAGTGGCAGGAGATGGGCAGGGGACAGGCATTAGAAACCTCTCCCACCCTCGGACTAGCAGCGTACAGACAGAAGGAGCTATTAACAGAATAAAAGGAACAATAGATTTTGAGAACCGTTTAATTGTCAAAGGGCTAGAAAGCAAATTGGAACTTTAACTTTTACTTTACCCTTCACCTTTTACAGAATTTTATAGATTTTTACCTTGCACATTTGTTTTCCCAGTAACGCTAATAATTTCTGAAAATCTCTTTGTTTTCAAGCAAATGATAGAGATGATGAATTATTTGTTTGCACTACCATCCAGTGGTAAATAAAAGCTGGTTGGAAAGAAGAAGAAGGAGAAGGAGAAGGAGAAGGAGAAGGAGGAGAAGGAGAAGGAGAAGGAGAAGGAGAAGGAGAAGGAGAAGGAGAAGGAGGAGAAGGAGAAGGAGAAGGAGAGGAGGAGGAGGAGGAGTTGCCTAAGGAAACGACCTTCAATTAGGTCTGATAACATTGAACTGATGATAAAGTCTCTCTAGAAGGAAGCAATTAAGACCAGCTGTGTAAACATGGTGTTGCACTCTTTTGCTACTTTATAATGGGCTGCTGAGAAGCAGAGAATACCTTTTGATAGTGTGCTTTTTTATTGGAAGAAGAAATTTGGTTAAACCAGACAACTCAGACTAAAGGGTTTCCTTTTTCTTTTTTCTTTTTTTTTTACTTGTCTACTTTGGTCCTTTTCCAATGGAATTTTTATCTTTCACCTTCCTTCCCCCCCCTCCCCCCCCCGGACTCACGTTTTTCTTTTTCTTCTTCCCTTTGCTGTCTTGCAAGGAAGTGTGGTTTACCATTGTGGAATTAATTTTGGGGCCTTTTTCTTTTTTTTTCTTTTTTGTTGCGCTGAGAGCCTTTTCACCAACCCTGGGTTTTTTTTTCTTCTTCTTTTTTAACCACATGTTGGCACTACAAAGCAAATGGATTAAGGTAGCCAGAACCTGAAGACTGGGTCCAAGAACAGGGGTCATTTTTTATGGTGTTTTTTTTTGGGGGGGGGGGTTGTTTTTGTTTTTTTGAAGGCTGCTGTTTGAGCTGCTGTGGGCAATTCCAGGATTACAATTAATTTACCAATTTAACTTTTGGATTATAAAATCAGATTATAACTCAAACACAACAATGTCAGAATCAAACACCAAGATGAAGAAAATAACATCATATGCATCTGCAACAGTGACACCACCTGGTCCAGTGACACAGAANGATCTTGCTGTGACCCCCTAGGAAAAGGTTATGCCCCGCCCTGTACTTACGACAGTGGCACTGTCCCGGGGTCACATGATCCCCATTTGTAGCCTTCCCAGCTGATTTCTGACAATGGGGGAAAGCCAGATTCCCTTAACGACCGATTCATTTAACAACTGCAGTGATTCACTTAACAACTGCGCCATGCCAGGTCATAAAAACGGGGCAAGACAATTGCCTTGTTTAGCCATGGACAAGTTGGGCAACAACTGTGGTCGTGGAGGACTAAGTACTTGTATATATGTGTTGCAGTTCAGCTCCTATAATCCCCAGCCAAGTAGCCTGGGGATTATGGGAGTGGGAGTCCCGTACATCCAGAGGATTCCTATTTGGGGGGGGGGAACTGCTCTCAAGGAAAATGAGAGAGACCTGAGTCTTTTGTGTTGTTGTGTCCTTTTCAGGGGCGATCCCAACGTGTGTGACATTTGGGGAAACACACCGCTGCACCATGCGGCCTCCAACGGCCACACCCCCTGCGTCTCCTTCCTGGTCAATTTCGGCGCCAATGTTTTCGCCCTCGACAACGACATGCGCTCGCCCCTCGACGCGGCGGCCAGTCGGAGCCAGTATCAATGCGTCCAGATCCTTGACAAGGCAGCCACCGAGCAGAGCATCAAAAACCCCAAGCGGGTGGCCCGCCTGAAGGCCCAGGCCCAGCGCGAGGTGCAACGGCAAATCCACCTGTGTGAAAAGCGCCAGAACAAGCACCAGCTGGACATGACCAGGCAGTTCCACAAAGGATCCATCCAGCTGAGTCACGGCTCCGCCACCAGGACGAAAGTCTCTCAGTTCTTCGCCACCGGCTCGCTCAGCAACGTCCCCAAGCAGTTGAAGGACACTTTCAAGCTGAAGACCAAGAAGAAAGAGGAGAATAGCCCAGCCGGGAGCCCCGGAGCCGAGAAGGAGGGCTTCTCTGGAGAAACCACCGCGATGGATTCGTCCTCCGAGAAGGAGGTAGAAGATCTGATGTGCGGCTTTCAAAAGAAGATCAGCTTTTCTGAAGAAGACGAGGACTTGGGACAGAGGTCTATTTTCAACCGCCCAGGTCTTGGCAACCTCGTCTTTCGAAGTCAGAAGACGGAGGCCTTGCTTCCTGAGAAAGAAGGCAGGGCCTTTCAAATTCCAGAGCTCTTTCAGCTGAAGGAGACCCTTGGCGCTTCAGACCACGAAGATGACCCTGAAGCCTCCTGGATGGAAGAAGCCATTGGGTGGGATGAGGACCGAGAAGAGGCGCCTCTCCTTGAAGTGTTCCTGGTCGCTCATCACCTCCATGAATTCCTCCCCATCCTGATGAGGGAAAACATTGATTTGGAAAGCCTGATGCTTTGTTCCGACGAAGATCTGCAGAGCATCCAAATGCAGCTGGGGCCTCGCAAGAAAGTTCTCCACGCCATCAGCAAAAGGAAGTTAGCTTTCGAAAAACCAGGCTTGGTCAGGGACACCCAATTATAAACACAGAATGGTTCCTCCGGTCAATGGTTTGATACGCACTCCACAAAACAGTTCTCTCGTCTTCTTTTTTTTTGTGAAGGTGGAAGAGGACGAGAAGGGACCAAAGATGACATCTATGCAATCCCCACAAATCTTTTCAGCTTCAACATTGCCAAGTAGCCATTGATTCAGAAGATCTGGGTGAAGAAACCTCTGTAGAACAGGGGTGTCAAACTCAAGACCCAGGGGTGGGCTTCAAAAGTTTTAGCAAGGGGTTCTCCGCCTGGTTAATGGGTTGGCGTGACCATGGTAGGTGTGGCCTAGTAGGCCTCCTGTATCACGGCGGGGAGGGGCGTTTTTGCCCTTCCTGGGCTTTCCACTGAGCCTCCAGGAGGGTAGAAACGGCCTTCCCAGGCTCTGGAGGCCCTGGGGATGCTGGAAACTGGCCCGTTATTGACCTTCCTGAACTTTCAGCCGGCCCATTTTTCACCCTCCTGGAGTCTCCGAATGTGCCCTACATTTACCTGCATCCGAAACAGGCCATGTGGGAACTCCTGGGAGGGGAGGGATAGATAGGGGGCAGGGAGTGGGATTTGGGGGTTGTCCGAACTGCACAGAATCTTAGCTAGCGGGTCTTCCCAACCCCTGCGAAACCCCATCAGCCCACTCTGCGGGCCGCATCTGACCCAGGGGGTGCTAAGATTTGGCCCACATGGCCATCCTGGAAACATCGAAGGACCAGCTTACAGTGCCTCTGCCGGCAAAAATGGGTTCCCAATCTCCAGCCCTCCCGAGCTCCGTTTTCGCTGGCAGGTTGCAGGAGGCTGTCCCGGCCGAAAACGGAGATTGGGAGCCTGTTTTCACTGGTAGGGCATTCGGGGCCCCACAGGCACCCGTGACACTAGTGACGTCAAGCTGGCCACACCCCCTGGCCACACCCCACACACCCCTGAGGTCAAACACAGCCGTGATTTGTCCCTCAATGAAATCAAGTTTGACACCCCTGCTGTAGAAGGAGTGGCAGAACATGGGGGCGGAGCAGTGGAGGGTTTCAAAAAATTTTTGAACCTACTCTGTGGGTGTGGCCTCCTTTGTGGGAGTGGCTTGCCAACTATGTGACCTGCTGGGAGTGGCTTGCTGGCCATGTGTTTTCTCTTTCTTTTTCTTTCTTTCTTTCTTTCTTTCTTTCTTTCTTTCTTTCTTTCTTTCTCTCTTTCTCTCTTTTTCCTTCCTTTTGTCTATCT